GTCACCATTCTGCAGCAACCCACCCGGACTGTACTGGATCCTTCTTCCAGGCCCGACTACGGGATTTGCCCAGCGGAGTACGCGACCGCGATCTGGAGCAGCGTTCTTGGAGTCTGGCTTACTAGGAGTTTGAGACAGTGTGGCTACACGTAGCGACCATGAGTGCAAGCAGACATGGGCTCGAGAATCGTTCACCTCTCAACAAAAGCTGCAGAATCTTCATCAACCCAGACATGTCAGCCGTGGTTTCAGTTTCGTCTTGTTTCGAGAACGCCAACAAGCGCGCGTCTCTGCATTTGATTAGACCGGGTCTGCATTTGATTAGACCGGGTCCGTTTATTAATGGTAGAACGGTACATACCCGACATGACTTCACTCAGCGTCGACAAGGGTGTCCTAAGCCAGGCACAGTGACAGTAGACCAAACCGAGTTAGAGTGACGGTGGTGATGCTGACGATGCTAATGGTGTGTATACATATATATAGTTATATGCTCGCGTCATATATATATATATATATATATATATATATATATATATATATATAGGTACACGTGTGTGTGTGTGTGCGTGTGTGTGTGTGTGTGTGTGTGTGTGTGTGTGTGTGTGTGTGTGTGTGTGTGTGTGTGTGTGTGTGTGTGTGTGTGTGTGTGTGTGTGTGTGTGTGTGTGTGTGTGTGTGTGTGTGTGTGTGTGTTCAGGATGGCTCGAGATCGATAAACCACTACCATTATTGAATATTCAGTCTTTCCGACGACCACTATCGTAGTTATTCCAGTTATTCGTACTGACATCATTATTATTGCTAAGAAGGCATTTCTATGTTTTCGACATTACGAATATGTTCGGGGATGAGCCGGCTATAAGACGATTCGAATCGTTGTCCAACTTCACGGGACAGAGAGCATCTTGCTGAGCGTGCTTCGACGACCATTGTTCTGCGATTGCTCCATGCCTGCTGACTTCAAGCCGAAACAGGGGGCCAAACTTGACTATGTCCCGAACAAGCGGACATCAACCACGTTCCGACGATGCTAGATAAAGGTATCGCACTCCACCAGCCCCGTACACCAATCCTACACAGTCTTCACCCCAAGCCTGGCGCTGGACAATAGGTGCCGGACGGGATGACGTAGCGGCTTCGTTCAATGTGTACAGAGCGTCATGAACTCCTAGGAGACCTGGTGCTTTTTTGGCGCATAGGTTTCAGGAGCGATAACAGTGTGATCAGGATCGGCGAGACTCCAGAAAACACCCCAAGCCAACCCACAACTCCGGTTAGTCTCTACATCCAGAAGTTCCAAGACCCTCAACTTTTTGAACCCTGCGACAAGCGCCCAAATCTCTGAACCCTCGCCACAGAGCCTAAGCCCTTAAACCCCAGAAGACCGAAATCTTCAAACCTGGGAAGCTCACAGGGCCCGCCTTCGCGCGGTGAAGGTCGAGCTTGAGGGGCTCGTGGAGGCTTGCTGTCTGCTGAACAGGTTTCATTTATCATTTATCAGTGGTATAGTTCATCCAAGAGGCCTTATGTGAATTGCTTGAATATGTCCCAACACCATATCTACAAAGACCCCGAGTAGCTTTTCAATTCTGAGGTTCAGGGGCTTGGGTTCCGTTCTGACCTTGGTGTCAAGCGTGTCTGTCCGTTTGACTTCACGATTTAGAGCCTAGGGCGGAGTATTGCGGGGTTCGTGCTGAGGAGCCGGGCTTGTGTGTGGAAGCGGGTTGACCAGGCGACGGCCTTGAGCGAGCTTGGATTGGAGGTTATATGGGGTATGGCCGTACCATATCACACCGAAGTGGTGATCCGCTTTGGAGGCCTTGCTCTTGGTGGCAGATTTTTGGCATGATGGCACACTGGTGTAAATCATGCTCTTTGGAAATGCCATCGTCATCAGGATCGCTACCATCACAGCGCTGCCAGAAAAATCACAATCAGTTGGCGTTCCGCAGACATGACCCTTTACATCGTCAGTATCCCTCTCATTTGCTGTCACCAGCATCTTCGTCGTGAGCCCTCTAGTTCGTGCATCTTGCCGGAGTGTTGGTCGAGGCGTGAGGGGTCGAAGAAATGAGCCCTACGCCCTTGAGCCGTGATGCAGTCGCGCAACCGCGGGACTTTGGACCTCTTCGAGCCACTGGCTTAAAATGCAGCCGCAGGCTTTAACAGGTTGAGCCTGTGCCGACGGGATTGGTGATTCGCAGTTTGTGAAATGGAGTTGCAATGGCAGTGCACAGCAGGGCCTTCAGGTGATTACAAGTGGAGGGTCCGTCATTCGGAGAGACAGGGGGGAGGGCAAGCTAGTGAAATGAAAGTTTTTTCTTTGCGGGTGGGGTGCTGTGCATAGGTGAAGACGATGATGATGGTGAAGATCATGGCCAGTTCATGAGTCCGCCTTGCTTTTGTCCTTGCAAGTTTGTGACGGGCCGAGGTCCCGGTTGGCGGATCTGCGGAACCAGATTGAGGAGGGCCCCAGAGAGTACAGGTTTGTGACGGTCCACAGCATGTCGGTCCACAGCGCGGTTTTCGCCGGCTGCAAGGGCTCGTCTTATCGCTCCCTCCGTTGTCCATTCACGGACGTCTTGAAGCCTTGGCTTTCAGACCCCGACCTGCTCGAAGCCCGATGCAGCCTCACAACACCCGAGCATGAAATGTGCACCAGGACAAATTGGAGACCTTCTTCCAAAGCCGTCTGGAGGTCTTTCGCCAGGAGTGCCACCAGGCCAGATACATGGTCGTCGCCGTGGCTGCTGCTGCTGCTGCCCTTTCTTCTGGCTTGCGTTTGCTGGCAATGGTGCTTACGGGATATTGCAGCCATCATTATACATTGCTTCTCGAGCCATCAGCTAGTTGTGACATTTTCACACAGCTTCACTTGTTTACTTCTGGTTGACCCTAAACGGCTGTTTGTTCGACATTGGTGTGAAGGGGTCCTTTGGGTAGCGCGGCGGAAGTCATGTATGCATCTTCACAGTGCCCCATATGACACCGAAGTGCTGCTGAGCCTCAGCCGATTCTGCAAGGATGCAAAGAGCTGCGTCCAGGAGGCACAGGCCGGGCCCGCCGGGGGGCTTTGGCGCTTCTCTCGCTCTTTGCAGGGTCGTTTTGGGCCTCACAGGCGGAGACCGTGAACTGCAGGCGCCGGAAAAGGAACCTAAAGACAAGACTTAAACCCAAAAAACCTCGGAGCCGTTTGAAGTCACAAAGGCCTTCGAGGCCTGGGAACAGCATGTGGAAAGGGTCGAGATGTTTTCATTTTAAGATTGCTGTTGCTGGATTCGCGTGTATTGGCATCCTAGTTATATGATTCATGATTTTACCAGGTTGTGTCTTCTGAACTACAAAGAAGCTGACACTTTTGTTTTACCTACTGTTTGCTCGCTTGTAGAACCCCGATATATCTTCGACCACGTGGACGAATACAAGAATTAGACCCCGCAGAAAGAACCTGTCAAGGGGGTTGTTGGATCCGGAACCCTAGATTTGTGGAGCCGATACCGAACCACCTCTGGGAATCATGTAAACAATTTAATTCCCAAATAAGAGCACGAGCAATGGAAACAACACAATTCACAACTAAAGGCAAACACACATCACGAAACGAACCGCGCCGAAAAGCCACAACGAAAGCCAAGCACGAGCAAGAACACGGGATCAAAAAAATGAAAAGCAAAGCAAGACTAAGGCACTTGAAAGTGGAAGCGACAAGCGCACATGTAAATAAGAAGATGAAAAAAGGCATGCTGGAGCTGAACAAGCAAGCTACAGCGAAGACCACGACACACACGCAAAGAAGCAAAAGCGTAAGCTTGTGACTAGCCAATCGAATTCAGGTGAACGGCCAAGGTTCCTTTGCCCGTGGTTACCACCTTCGCTTTTCACTATCTATGCTCAAACCTGTGTGGTGGTGTGTATTTTACAGTTTTCTTTTCTGATTCCTTGTTGGTTCTTTTGGCTATTGCAAGTGTTTCGCTAGGGGGTGTCAGTAAAGATTTAGCTTCGACAGAGTTATCGTCAGAGGCAAGGACGGAGCCCTCGGAAATCAGGGCGGCGTGTTTGCGTTTGCAGTGATTCCCTGACCTTCCCTCACCCCTTCGGCAATGTTGACCCGACCTGTACATCCCCGTCTCACATCTCTTGCGAGAGAAATCTTTTACGAGAATATCACGGTTGGCTCGCAATGGCGCCACAACCCTAGACGACCGTGAGAAGAAGCAGAGGCGAAAGGAATAATCGTAAGCCCAAACCTCTGAAATCCAAGACTACCCCTCAAGGCCCTAAACCCTCCAATCCAAACCTTCCAGGTCCGGCTAAGCGAGGACGTTGTGGCGCTGCAGCAACGACTGGTCGCCGAATTGCGGGCCCGGTTCAAAGTATTTCTCGAAGAAGCCCGAAAACTCAAGTACTGGCAGCAGCCTTCTGCGCTGCTTCGCTGCCGAATCCCATGTCACCCTAAGGCAGAGACCACCGCGGCATTGAATCGTGAGCCGGAGACCTATCCGAACATATCCGAAGAGATCTTTGGGTAATGGGGTTTGGAGCTATCAGGTGCAAAGCTTCGGGAATGTGTGCGACGAGGTTTCAAATTCTAAATGACTTCGAGGCCGTGGAGCTCTAGGATTTAGGCATGGTCTTGCGATGTACATGACAGTCTCTGTCTTGGAAGGATTGCGCGTTGGGGCATTCTTCGGAACGCGGCTTAGCATCAAGCTTTCCTGCACAACCGCCTGCCCTGCGGTCCCCTGAGCCCAACCACCCTGAGAACTCGAGCACGCGCATTCTTGCACACCAGCTGAATGACTACTTGAGAACCCTGAATCCATGGAGCGCAGTCCTCAGGTCCAATTTGTGGGCTCATATATCAGTTCTCTTAAAAAGTTTGAACTTTCTGGGGCCCGGTTGTTGAAGAAGAAAGTAACTGCCGACTGCCACACCCAGATCCGCCGCTCTGGCCGCGCTGGACGAGCAGCTTTGGATCACGGATCAAAGGCTGGGCCGATGACAGCGGGCAGCAGCGGGCGGGGCGGGAGGCTCCCCGGGCTTCGGGGGTGTCCACGCTTTGGGTTCGTTTGTTGGGCGCTGAACACGTTGGACTCGAGGTACGTGCTTAGCAAATCGCGCTATCTCGGCGTGACCTCGTTTCTTGACAGAAGTTCATGGAGCTTGTGAGTCCGATACGTCCCGGAATCCTAACAAGCCTTATATATAAAATCCCTAAAATGCAAAACCCGGATAGGCTCGGGCAGCGCATCGACGAGCTGGCGCAGAGCCGTCTTCGCGAGCGAAGCGCCTCAGGTTCCTTTGGGGTGTCATCGGTTTGTGATGTTTTGGACCTCCTGAAGCTTGCTTCGGCACTGCTTTCGACTCAGTAAGAATTACAAGGGATACCAATCCGCGTTACTAAATACTACATCGAAGGAGTCTCCAAGTGGTGTGTAGCTGCGTCTGCATTTCTGACCACGCCCGTTCCAACGATATCCCCACCGGAAAGCCCGCTGCCGGCAGCCCGCAGTATTTCCTTGATTTGCAGGGCGAGGATTACAAGATTCCATAAAGCTCTAGGACCGTCGGATCCTCATCTAACCTCCAGCCTTAACCCCACCGCCCAGCAGCCCCCACCCTTGCCCTGAAACCCCCAAGCTGCCGAGGAATCCGTTCCCTGTAATACAAACAATGCCAAGCCCGAACCCCTAAATCCAAAGCTCCCATACCCGAATCCTTATGTCCGTCCTCCACCCCACTCCTCTGCGTCGCACAGTCGAGTAAACTAGACTCTATTTTATGTTGCTATGTACTGCTTTTGCCGTCATTCTACATGTGTGATGTCGTCATCAGTTATGTGAGGAAAGGATCCTGGATTCAGGACAAACCGCGGCCTTTGCAAGAAGCCCCGCGACCCTTTAAACATGCCCACACGCTGAATCAAAGACCTACAGTCCCTAGGTTCAATGTAGGCTTGATCCCCATGCAGTATACATTCCCTATGCTTTTATACTCCCCAAATCCCGGGTCCATCGCAGAATTCCGAACTACCTTGGAGGCGTGAAAGGCGGTCGGCTCCTATCTTCGATTCTCACAGAGACCTTCGAGGAAAGGGCTCCTCTTGCACCGCCACAGGGTCGTACACCATTGGGGTTTTGTGGGGTGCCTTAGGCCCTGGTCATCCTGCATGGAGGCCCGTTTGGGTTGTTGTCTCCCAAAGCTTAAGGGACCAGGCACCTTGTGAACTTTAGTGGCTTCATGTCGTGTAGAGCTTAGTTTCCTTCGTTCAAGGGCAGCCCGTCGCAAAAAGGACCCACTCATGTTGTTGAGAGAGTTTAGGGTTTAGGCCGAGTCTAGGGCTCATTTAGGGCTTGGGGATTCATTAAGGTTTTGGGTCTAGGGCCTAGGGTGCTTTGGGGTCCAGTTGCGTAAACCGCCCTACAACCGCGCAGCCAAGAAACCTTCAGCAACTGTAGCCTTGTACGCCCAAGACCCGAACAGCCTGAAGCTTTGAACCCTAAACCTGTAAAGCCCGATCTCAACCTAAAGCTGATAAGAGCCTTCTACTCCGAGGACAGTGATCGCACCCAGGCAGAGCCGGTCACCCCAGAGGCACCTGGCAAAGAGAAGGCTATTGGGACTTGCTCAAAATCGTGTTCTCCAAAGGCTTTTGTTATGGGGCCTATATACTTAGAGGGTCCTTTGCTGCAATGGCTGGGGTGTCCACCTCACAGGCTTACGGACTTGGGGTTCACGGTTTGTGCCTTCGGGGAAAGGTATCGCCAGAAGAACGCTGGCTCTGAGCCCGAGCATCCCACGTGAAGCCCAAAGCCGACAAGGCAAGAACATCCGGCACAGAAGCGGAAAAAAAAAGAACACTGGAGCCGGAGAGGACGAGCCGGAGAGGCCTCAGCTCAACCTGTATCCAGGTTGTCGGTAAATCCGATATTCTGCGGTAGCAGTCATGGTACCTTTATTGATCTATAAGCTCGCCCTACACCCGAAATCCGAAACCGGGACCACCGTAACTCCCCGACACTTCTAACACTCTTCTAACCCTTTAGTAACTCCTGCAACTAGAATCTAGAACCCGACCTTAGCATACGTTCTCACGTGCTTTTCTGAGCGAGATGGAAAGTCCAAGTGCGCTGCACCGCTTCCAGGCCTCAAGCCGTCGGGCGGCGACGGCGGCACAGCGCATCTCGGGCGGAGAGCCTTGGCCAAACCCTTGTTTAAGACCCAGAATTCCAAGTACTCATACAGCAAGACCGCCGATTTCGACAGAACGTGCATCATGAAGCCTTCGCAAAACCCCACAGAATCTCCGTGCTAAGGGCAAAAGCGCACCCGTCAACACCAACAAAGCCACTAAACCTGAGCGTTTACGGACCCAGGTTCTAGCGGCAGCACAGCGCGCCGCCAAGTCGCTTCTAGAGGCCCTAGCTTGTTGTTGAGGGTTGTGCAAAGGAGACTTATACGTAATGATAATAAAAGGGTACTGGGTAGTGCTGGGTACGTTGAGTGGCATAGGCATATGGGCGTATAAATCAAGCCTGCTATGGGACGAAGTTAATTACACAGTCCTTCAGAATCAGGAAATCTATCAGGGTTTCTTCTCAGAGTTATAAGCCTCTAAACTTTCTTTAGGGCTCCACGGAGGTTGTTTGGAGGTTCTATAAGGGTTCTGTTCGGGCTTTAGTCAGGCTACTTGTAAGGGCTCTTGGTTTTGAAGGTTAGGAGATGCGAGGACTGGGGTTCTGGGCTTTTGGAGATTAGAGACTCGAGGGCGAATTCAGGAAAGTTTAGCGTTTAGGGCTGTCAACCCTTGCGAATCAGAGAGGTTTGAGCCTGGGGTCCTTGGAGGTTTGCGATTGAATGGTTTACGGTAGGGTCTGTGAATTTGTTGTGCGTGAGTTTTGTCTTCAGCCTGCATTGTGGCTTTGGTGCGAAACATGTGCATGCATTTATCGCGTTCAACAATGCAACGGATAGTTTTCTAAACCCAACTCCCCGTAAGCAAAGCTAAGCATTAGTACCCACGGACCTCTGCCGGTCTTCAACACAAGCTCATACAGTCTGGGTCATGCAGTCCGCCCTAGGCCCTAGGAGTCATTATCACCACAGTGGAATGCCCTTTTTGACCCAGTTGGGTAGAGTGTTGGTAATCGGTTCTTTGGCTAGTGCCATCAAAGATTTTCAATGCTATGATCCGAACTGTTCTGATGGCGTTTTTTTTCGCGATTTGCTACTCTTGTCGGCATGAGTGTTTGCTATTGTGAATACGGCACGTCGGTTCTTTCCATAGCTTGCCTAAGTGTATATAAGATCCTTCTCATGAGGACCCATGATTTTCTGCACCCCCGAAAACCTAAGAGAACTGCGAGGAGGCGAGGACGCCTGAACCAGCCGAGGCACAGGGTTTGGGAAAACCAGGGGGGAGTTACCTTAGTTAGAGGGGTCCTTACAGCACGGATCCTTGGTCATCTCCATCTGACGTCCTTGCTTTTAGGCATCTCTTAAGTCCATTGCGGTTGATCCAGCGACTTCAAGTGCTGCGGTGACATCTACTTCCACTGGCACCACTCCGCCTCCTTTTCCTAATAGCTCAGCTACTCGGTGCCTAGGGTTTGCACCACCTTCTCCTGCTGTGATCACTGAAGCAGCGATAATTGCAATGCAGTTCACACTGTTCGTGTGAGGTTCTGGCCTGGATCTTGCTGTACTTATGATTGTCGTTGCGACTTTCACTGTTATGGTCTTGTCACTTGTAGTTATCCGTCGAGCTTTCGGCTGTTGGTTTTGCACCGGGTTGGTGTCATCAGCGTTTTCGGATGACTAACCGCTGCTGCTACTGCCCTTCCTCCTCTGCTGCTGCTGCTACTACTACTACTACTGCTACTGGTACTGCTACTAGTACTACTACTACTGCTACTACTACGAGCGGCGGGGAATTGAGGGCCGCTGCTTGTGAACGAAGGTTTTGCTAGTCTTGCTAATCCCGCCCATCTTGCCTATGTTGGTCCCCCAAGTGGTGCAAGTGGTGCAAGGCAAGATGGGCAAGATTACCAAGATTGCACCTACTAGACACCCCCGGTCCCCAAGTGGTGCAAGTGGCGCAAGTGGTTTTGGGCAAACTGGCGCGCATCTTGGCCCCCGCGCCCAAAAACACCAAGAGGGGCAAGTTTGCCGTACAAACTTGGTCAATTATCGGCCCTCGTTTCTCGGCGCAATGTACTACTACCTACTACCTACTACCTACTACCCACTACCTACTACCTACTACCTACTACCTACTACCTACTACCTACTACCTACTACCTACTACCTACTACCTACTACCTACTACCTACTACCTACTACCTACCTACTACCTACTACCTACTACCTACTACCTACTACCTACTACCTACTACCTACTACCTACTACCTACTACCTACTACCTACTACCTACTACCTACTACCTACTACCTACTACCTACTACCTACTACCTACTACCTACTACCTCCTACCTACTACCTACTACCTACTACCTACTACTACTACTACTACTACTACTACTACTACTACTACTACTACTACTACTACTACTACTACTACTACTACTACCACTACGACTACGACTACGACTACGACTACGACTACGACTACGACTACGACCGCGACGACGACTACTACTACTGCTACTACTACTGCTACTGCTGCTACTACTACTGCTACTGCTACTGCTACTGCTACTGCTACTGCTACTGCTACTGCTACTGCTACTGCTACTGCTACTGCACTACTACGACTATGACGGTAACACTGTATTCTGCCCTTTCTCTCCCCGTGGTCGGCATCCACAGTGCAACATCCGCTCTCAGGAGGACGTCGGGATGCGACGAGGCCTGTCTCCAGAGAGAGACCCTGTTGGATTCTCGGGGTTTCAGGGTCAAAAGCATGCTGCAAATTAGGGCTTTGATGGCATACTGCGGAGCGCAGCTGATCCCCAGTAGGCCCCAAAGGCAACTTGGCATTGTGACCCTAGCCACAGACACCCCCAACCGACACAAGAAGTTTTGCCGCCCCTTGGTCCTTAGACGGGAAGCCTCCGCACAGACAGCTCCCGCCGCAGCACGCGCCATCAGCGTGACATCCAAGAGGCCTGCCTGTTTTTTGAACAAGGCTTCTCTTGTGACTTCGACTCGTCTTGGGGCTGAGCATGGAAGCGGTCTTTTGCCGTGAACTGCTGCCCTAAGAGCTTGTGGGAGGCCGCAAGTAGGCTCCTGCGCCGAGACGACGAAGGCCCGGCGAGATTCCCATAAGCGCTGAGCTCTCAGACCGAACTAGAGCCTTTGGGTTTGGGTTTAAGGGCTAAATGTCGGTTTGCTTGTACCCCGGATTACGTGCAATTCTGTTTTTCGGTTCCCCTCGTTTTAGCTACGTACCACCAGCAGAGTCAAGGTTTTGGGCTCAGGGTTCATGGTTGCTTTAATGCCTCTTCCGCCCCCATAGCTCGTGTACTGGCGGCCCACATCATGGCCCAAATCCAAGGGTGATCTCCATATATGAGACAAGGAGCCGGGTTGGAGGGAGGCGATCACATTGCGGACAGTGTTGCAGGGAATGAGTTGAAGCCCTCTTCGGCTCTCGGAAATTGGCGAATGATGTACTCACGATTTGACGAATACAACTTTTCTCCGTGGGGTCACTTGGAACGGCGGAAGAGCCCACATTCGCTGATTTTCCAGTTGGAGCATCGCGTCGATCGTCCAGAAGATGATCCACAGGCACAGCTGGTTATGTTTCCGAATATCTTGTTCCAACTGACAGCAGCGTTAGACCTCAATCGCCAAGAGACTCCACCACCCAACTGTCACACCATAGTTTGTGCGCGCATGTGTGTGACAGTGTGTGTGTGTATATATATATATATACATATATGTCAGTCAGTGTGTGTATATATATATATACTATATGTCAGTCAGTGTGTGTGTGTGTGTGTGTGTGGCGGTGAGTCTGTGTGTGTGTGTGTGTGGGTGTGTGGGTGGGTGGGTGGGTGTGTGGGTGGGTGGGTGGGTCATCATTGTCTTCTTTTCTATCGCCATTATCTTCTTCTTCGTAGCAGTAGCAGTGCCAATGCGAACAAGCATAAACCCAACATGGGAGACATCGTTTCGTCATCAGAACCGTCATCATCAGCAACAATATCAACAATAGCAGCAGCAGCAGCAGCAGCAGCAGCAGCAGCAGCAGCAGCAGCAGCAGCAGCAGCAGCAGCAGCAGCAGCAGCAATGTCATGGCCACTTATTGCTGGAGCATCCTTGTCGCGAACGCCTCGCTGAACCCGTCATCGTGTTTGTCAACATCATCAGCTTAGCGGCTTAGCATCGCCATCAGCAAAATGCTGATGGTCATCGTCATGTTCATCGTCGTCACCATGGTAATCATTATCGACCCCCTTCTCGTCGCCGTCGTCAGCATACTTATCGTCTTCTTATTTGCAACATCTTCAACAGTCACCATCATCACTGCGCTCGGCATTTTCTGACTCTGCTGCGGACGCGGTCTCGTCGGGTTGCGGTTTCAATGCCGGTTCCTGTCTGAAAGTCCGGTAACAGGCTGTTGGCCGAAGCCATGATCTTAACCAAATTTCAGAGACGCAAGGTGAGAGCCCTGTTTGTCGAAGTGTGCCTTTGTGAACGCTGAGAGACCTCGAGGGCAATGCGCAGAAAGTGGCTGGGTCTTCGGGAATGCCTTAAGGTTTCAGGATTAGTTCATCTGGAGTCTTACATCAAGTTGGCCGCAAAGAGGGAGCTTAGAAGGCACATGAAAAGGTGGCCTGTAGAATGCCATCTCACGAGATGTTGGGGTTCAGAATGCAGGTGCCACAACAAGCTGCCAAGATTCGGCATCCGTACTTCAGCTGCGTTTGACGTAGATTGCGATGCTGCTGCCTCACGGCCTCAAATCGATCCATGCAAGTGGAGTTCTTTGGTGTGTGAGCCTGCGCAGCCACGGCCAATTCGCTGATGCCGGTCCCACAGATAGCACAGATAGGAGAGCACAGGATCGACCGTAAGCAGAGAAGCTTGAGTTTCTGTGACATAGCTCTTGTTGCAGGACCTCTTTCGATAGCGTTCGTGGCTCTTGCAGCACCAGCGGTAGTAACGCCAACTGTCGTGATGACGCAGTGGTGCCTTGCTGGGGAGAATATTGGGAGGGGCTTGAAAGTGGAATAGTATTAGTCGCAGTAGAGTAGCCGAGTAGCAGTAACCAGGATCGGAGGATTGGCCATGGCCTTTCCTGCTCGCACACCGTTTAGGATTCACCAGAGGGGGCGAACTCAGGGCCTTTAGCGAATTTGGGCTTAGGTTAGTAGACTGCGACTATACCACGCAACTCACTATGTAGACTGCCATAGCTCATATCTGGATCATGAACCGAGGACCTCAAGAGTCCTACAGCGCAGGGGGTGCCCACTTGTCCAGAGCCCTTGTTCGGATCCCTCCGGCGGTTCGCTGTTCCATCAAGCCTGTGAACACCCTTCTTCAGTTTGGAGCCACGACCATCTAGCAAAACCAAATCTTGAAGTATCGCTCTCCGAGGAAAAGGAAATGACGAGAATGTTCATGTATACAGGCCCAATCGTGAGCCAATCACCGGACCTTCTGTTTACCTGCAACCCCCGCTTGTTCTTCAACCGTCTCAGCCCAAATGGGCTGCACACAGCAAATGTCAGTGGCCTCATTGCTGCTGCAAGACGTGCTGCAGGTAGGGCTTTGTCACGGGGGCATGGTTTCACAAGAGACCGACAGTCCGTTTGTAAGGAACACTTGGCCCTAGGTTCGAATCCTTTACGATCCTCCCCTTGAGACCTTGGAAGCAGCTCGCACCAAGGAGTTGCTTCTGCAAGTCTCAACACGAACGCCTTTCCCCGAGTCCGTGATGAAGGTTCCTGTAGCAAACCTGCAAGGCGAAAACCCCAACACATTAAAGCCTGAACCTGGTGAGCTAGTGAAAGCCGGACTCTGAAAAACGTAACTATCTCCTGTACTTCAAGCAGAGCTGCGGCTGCAGGCATCTTAGACATGGCGTTGATCACCTCGCGTGTGATCCTACATGTACCATGTACCTACTTCAGCAAATCCAAGTCAGAGTCCACCGGTATAGGAAGTTTCACGGGATCCCCTCCGGCAGAGCCGTACCGGGCGCCAAATTAGAAAAGCAAACGCCGGCGTGGCGACGTATAACGAAAAAGACTTCATGAGGCTTTGCTCAGGAGCTTAGGGCTAAGGGGTTCATGCGGTGTCGAAGTGGTTCGCTGAGAGTTTGCGCTTCTTTATGACAAGGTTGCCGTGCTTGGACGAATGCAGTTGAATCGAGCACGGGTAGTTCAGAGGAGGCTCATTTACTCTGGAAGAAGCCGTCGAACTCAACGAGATTGTTGCTTCAAGCGATTCGAGACCTTTGCCCGAAGAGTTTGAAAACAAAAGGACGTAGACTTTCGCCGATGATGATGGTGATCGTAGTGCTTAAGGGCTTCACGGCCAGAAGCCTCTACACTTTCGGTAATTTAGCTGTCGCTTTGATAGGAGCTAGCTGTTCCCATCTTTATTCTTCCCCACATGAACTAAGGCTTGGAATAGAGATCCACAGCATGAATCCTTGTATCCACCACAAACCCCAAAGCACTCATGCTGCATCTTTGTTTGCATGTTTGCTGTGGCCTTCGTTCTCAAGGCTCAAGACAATCAATTTTTAGCGGAGTGCACTCTTCTTTGGGGCTTTGACGGAGAAACGGCGGCGACAATTCCGACGCAGTTCGCTGCATACATAGAGGCCCCTTGCAACGGGGCATTGCATATGAGATCCGAGATTCGAATAGTTCGAAGACTCTTGGAAGTCGGTTCATGCCTAACATGTCAAGTCAATGTACAACCCTGCGAGAGGGCGTCTCTTGAACCGTTTCTAGTCTGAAACACTACAGTCTACCTGCAGAATTCGACACCGTTTGAGACCCAGTTAAAGCTTTGAAGCCCCAAGGCCATCGCAACAAGTCCGAGGACCCTGAACCGTCAGCCCAAGAACAATCGGGAGAAGCATCCAAGCTGTCATGTTCATCAGAACGATGATCATGATGTTGGTGATGATGGCGAGGGTGATGAAGATGATGGTAGTGGCGGACATGGTCATGAATGATGATGGCGATGCTGATCTGATGGTAGGTGTGCATGGACCCTTGCACTCTGAGTAGGGCATAGTAGGTCGTTGCAGGAAGGATGTTCGTTGTACCAGCCATCATCAGCCATCCACATAAGTCTAAGATAGATATATGTACATCTATGTATATGTATACACACACACAAATCAAAGATACATAAGCATTAGTTCATATGAGCACGCATAAACAATACTTCATGTGAACACATGCATACATGCGCGGCTGGCTGTGCCAATGGGTGGATGGATGGATGCAAGTCTGCACGCATGTGTGTATGTACATATACTTCTGTTTTCATCTTTATGTTACATGTGCGGGGCAAGCCAGTTACAGTGTCTCTTGCTGATTTGCGCAAAACCGTTAGACACTATCTTCTGCCGTGGAGTCCCTGCAACCCTGACGCCGAGGTCTATGCGCAATGAACACAGGAGTCGGGGAGCCGAGCATCTTCCGAAAGAGAGACTTGCCGGTCTTGTTGGTATGACGGTCGTCGGGGTGGGTTCTGCGGCGCTAAGGGTTCGGCAGATTTTCAAAACAACGAAACCAGCAGGCCGTGCACCACTGGATATTGAGTTATATCCAGTCGCTGGCTCTTTGCGCGTGCTACCCTGAGCGTACGTCTGACTTCCATGGCGCCGAGGGCAAGGTTTGGAGTGCCCCTGCTTGCGAGGTGAGGGCACGCCCACAAGGCTTCGACACGAGCCTGATACCTCGAATCCTAAACCGCCGAACGAGCGCGGAAACTAGTGCTTGCCATTGTACGACAGGAAAGCAACACTGCAGATTTGTTCAGAGAGTTTCGGTTTTCAGTCGGGTTAGGAATCTTCTGGGTTCATGGTTTCGGATGTAGAGTGCCTCCTTCAAAGCATGGCCGTGCCTGAAGCCTCAATGAAATCCTTCAGACCCTCTTGCATAAAATCGATGCTTCAATCTTCATTGATGCAACATTGACAAAGGCGTCGGAGTTCCTCCCACGGGAGGCTGGGACAGGGTTGCTGTGCAATGTGGTGCAGGGATCAGTGCCAGCAACCTAACATGAATAAATAACATGTGAGGGGACTTGGAGTGAATTCTCATCTCGGATTACGCTTTAGGGTTTGCTAAAATCTGCCCTGCCCACTTCAAGGAGGCCGTGGCCACCGAAGGCGCGGTGCTGGGAAAAGACGCAGTTTCTTTCGGGTTCTAGAGGAGGCTTTGTCCAGCGTGTATTGTTTTTCGGGTGTGGGTGCGCGCAGTGCCAGTTCCGAACTCGGTGGACTTCCCAGTGCTGGAAACACGCACTACCAAAGAAGAGAGTGGTGAAGCAGTACGGAGCCCTTGATGCTATCGAGATGTAATGAAGACTAGAGCCGGCCACTGCGACACGCTTCAGGTGATGATGCGCCCGCACCAACACAGGAAGAATACGTGAGCTTGGCGCCCAAGCAGGGACAATAGACAAGAAAGGCTCAGGGATAAGACTCCTGGGCAACACGGCTGGTAATTACATCACTGACTGTTGATCTGCCCGTCTCGTCCATCATATCATAGCGTGTAAATCCTGTACATATGTATATTATATACATACCTATATATACACATGTATATAAGTATTTGTATACATACGTACATACATAGGTACATGCATACGTATATATATATATATATATATATATATATATATATATATATATATATATATATATACATATACATATACATATATATATATATATATATATGTATATATGTATATACATGCATATATATATATATATATATGTGTGTGTATGTCATATGTAAGTATGTATACACATATATATATATATATATACATATACAAAAATATATAGAACGAACATATATATATGTACATGATTGCACATTTTTCTTCGTATTTCACATAGTATTGGACTGTACTGCACGGTATTATAGTTGTGTACCAGGGTTCTACTACATGCTGTTGCGTGACATTACATCATATTTTGGTCGGTTTTAGCTCAATTTAATATAGTAGAATGTGCAGTGTCAGATTCTGTTCTTTCTATCGTTTCTAATTATGTTCTTTCTATCGTTTCTACTATATCTTGATTTAGTTTGTTGTATTCTATCAGAGCATATCATATTCGCATGTCGTTTCAGGCATAAAGGCCAGATCATATCCTACTGCGTTGAGTTTCATGAGAGTATACGAAGTATACGATGTTTCATTCGTATCGCTTCGGTTATGGTATATATCAGAATGTATGTATGTATGTATGTATGTATGTATGTATGTCTGCATTTATGTATGCATGTGCGCATGTATGTATGTATGTATATGACAAGCAACAAGCAAGACAAATCAGACCTCACGGATGGAGCCTCAACCTCAATTCATCAGATGTTTTCTAGCACCAAGTTTCGGAATTCAAGAAAGACCCCCAGTTTCAAAGGCGGTGAAGAGGGGCCCTGATTTACCTCCTACTTCCCAGCAGCTCTGCAAAAGCTTTGACAGTGACGGCTGCCGTTAGGAGTCTCATGACAGGAAGATTCAACTCGAGGAGAGTGAGGATTCAGACCCTCTAATCAGACCCTGACTAAGAAGTCCTCCCAGCTAGTCTCGAGAATGACCGTTCAAGCCAGCCGATCGGCCCAGATTCTCTCCTTCGGCTCAGTGCGGAGGGCGAGGAAAGGCCAGGTGCGATGGAAAGCTCCCTGGGGTTTGCGAGTAGGGATCGGCGATCGGCTGTCCACTGCAATTTTTGTGTTTAGGGAGCATTATTTCTACAGCTGCTGGCTGGCTATCGTAGACAAGACGTCATAGCTGTCTGTTGACCCAGCTTATGTCTTTATCAACGAGGAGGCTTATTGCGATTCGGATTTGCTGCTCTTCCGTTCCTCGAACACCGAAGGCCTGCGGCCGATTCCGATGGGGAGGGCAAGGGCCAGGATATGGACGCTTGGCCTCAGTCTCTTTTGGGTCCCCACCTCCTGATTCAGGAGCATTCCCCGAAACTGAGAGGTTTTGGGCTCTCTAGGTGATTTTGGAAAAAAAGGTGGAGTTGCAGAGTTGCAGGCGAAGGAAGCCTACTAGCCTACTGAAGTCAAATCTAATCGCGCCGTGGCCCTCCACACGTCCTCCACCCAGCTCTGCAGTTTCGGAGCTTCGGATCTCGCCCTCGCATTCGGAGTACAGCAGTGGAGGAGTCTTGACTCCGTGCAAGACAATGTTACGGGGTTATACGTAGTGGGTGAAGGACTTTCTTTGTGTGCAAAGTGCTCCATGATCATCCTGTATTGTCAGTGTGCACATCTGAACAGAAAGAAGCAGCTCAAGGGACGAAGGTTACGGGCAGGGTGTGTGCGTGTGTGCGTGTGTGTGCGTGTGTGTGTGTGTGCTGTCAGTGAAATTTTAGGATAATGGGCAAGGCTGTTTACGTGCAATCACTTACGCAGAGGCGCAAAGAACGAGCAAAGCGGACAGAACGGGTTTGCCGTTGAACAATGTTTGGGCTTCTCAACCATCTGACATGTGGTGACATGCGGAGGTTTGCAGGGTTGTGGGGCCTGCCAAGTCCTCCCATCAAGATACGAAGTCCGAACGACTTTCCACCACACGGGCTAAGGATCTGCAGCAGCGGCTGAATGCTGCCTTCCAAAACTCGAAGGCATCCGTGAGAGTGAGGGTGCAAGACAGCAGCATGCTGCACTATGGTCTGCGACTGTATCTATTGTACCACAGCCGGATGGTTTCAATCCCTCGTGTCACAGATAGCTTTGCGAAACCTCAAAAGCTGAGCAAGCAGCCGACTCCCACGAGCCCGGAGGCCAGCTCCTCGAACACTGATTACTGTCTCCGCCCCACCATTAGCCTGAAGTTTCAAGCTCCACGGTGAGGACTCCAGAAAGCCGGGTTCGGCGACGGGCCCGACTGAGGCTGGCAATTTTCATGGATGGATGGCCGAAGGGTGCATGGTCAAAAGCATCGTTGTCATAGGAAAGCCCTGAGAGTTTGAGGAATCCTGCTGCCATTGTTGCCAGCAGCAGGAGTAGAGGTACCGGGGGCCAAGGACTATAAGTAGGAGTAGCAGCAGCATCAACAGCCTTACAGCGGTAGTGGCAGATGGCAACTGGTAGCTGGTAGGCGGTATGTGGTAGCGCTAGCTGGTATCTGGTAGGGGTAGTGGCAGAGAGAGTGGCGCTGGCAGTGGTAGTGTAGTGGCTGGTAGTGGCAGCGGCAGTAGCAGCTGTACTAGTAGGTAGGGGGTGCCAGCAGCGGTCCCCCCCCGCCGTTGTCAGCCTAAGTTTCGAATGCTGTCGTGAAAGACGATGCTGATGCGGCCAACCAAGGTGGTGAACAGGGACGTGACTACGAAGTGCATGAAGCTAAGGATGGTTTCTGTGGATCTGCCACGACCATCATAGTTCTGGAGTCTACCATCCAGATCTGCCACGACCATCATAGTTCCGGAGTCTACCATCCAGTTGCGATCATTCCTCGGCGTTGTGTTGCAAGCGAGAGCCCACTCCCAAAGCCAAACGTCTAACACCTGGCCTCTGATACGTCTTGTCCGATCTATCGGGGGGTTTGTTTTGACATTTCTAGCTCTTGGTACTTAGAAAGAAGGCAGTTTGAACCAGGATCATGAGGCACTTGTAGACAATAAACCCTGATCATGTGTGCACTGTGTGTGCACTTGTGTGCACCTTGGAGATCTCCCTCGCAACTGCCGGTCTGGACTGGAAGCCGCAGTGCCCTTGCGGACTTCCGGGACAGCCAGTCGTGAGAAATGGTATCAGTTTTTAAGTGTGTCAAGAGTTAACAGCCGCCTGCTTGTTAAACCGTTGATATCTTACAATCATGTTCGTGACCAGATTGAAGCACGTCGCCATCAGTACGGAGCACCATGCATGATCGCCATCATGATGCTGTTGAGTCGGTGAGGACAGAACAAGATTCCTCGTGGTTGAATGTTGCAGGCGAACGAGTGACATGAAACGTTCACCTGCCGGTCTGATCTGACAGCTCTGTCCCGAGCTCCACACCGAACACGGGGGCTCCGAATCAAATGGCGCTCCTGCACAGTCCGACGAACGCAAATGTCGCCGTAGCTGCCGCAGTTCTGGCAACGGTCGTGTTCGTGAACCGTGCGTGCCCAGTACACATGCAGCTCAAAATCTCAAGGGCCTCAAGGGTTGGTCGGATGACTAATGCAGTGCCGCAAGTGCCAGAAGCATTCAGCCGAACCGTCTGTGAAGAAAACTTGCCGAGGCAAGACCTTGAGGTCCAAATGCCGACTGCAGTGATGAAGTTCGCGTCCGCGCAAACCCAACCTGCCATCCTTTTCTTTCCGAGTTGATGAGAGACGGCGACGATTAAGCCTGTGCCAATGCATAATTACAAACCACCACAGCCCTCTAACTTCTGCCTTGCACACCACGCCCAACACGCTCAACTACAGAATCCTGAAACTGTCTGTCAGAGGTACCAAGGGCGTCTCCGATCATTCGTTGAGCAGAAAGGCTGCCCGGCAAAAGCAGATAGACGCAGTGTGCTACGGCAAAGCCGACGAAAGGCCTAGGAGAGGAGGTGACAGGGTGGGGGCCGCTACATCATGAGGCTCACGGCTTTGTAACCGTTGTGGACTTGGGCTGTTGTCTTGAGACCTCAGACAAGAACCTCAGGGTTTACCATATTAGACTGAAGACTGCGCAGCAACGTGTTTTAAGTCTTAATTGCTTGAGGTTCCTGGCTGCTTATCGCAGACTGTCTACAGATTTGGGCCCGTTTCGGATGTTGGTGTTCGCTCTGGGATCGGAGAAAGGAAGAGTTTCCTTTCTCAGTACAGAGTTGGGGAGACCCCAAACCCCAACCACAGACAATGCTTCTGAATTGCCGTTGTAGTCAACCTTGCTATATATGAGGATTAGTTTCGGCCGGAGCCGAGCATCAGCGTAACGAAGGTGATGGCGAACATAGGCAACATTGTGGAAGCAACAACCAATCAAGTCAAAAACTTTAACAACAGCAAGTAAGTGCAGTGGCGCTGTGGCTGTTCTTATTGAGCAGTGTTTGTGAAATCACTCGCCTTCACCATGACAATACTAAGCACTAGGTTTTCCAGAGTAGGTCGTCAGACTGATCGACTTCATAATAATGATATCAACTCCTGCTACAATAATCGCAACGAGAACAGCTGCCCAATCGTGTTGCAGGCTTCGGCTTCATCGATTGCCAGGCCCGCCGCCGAAGAGATGCCGCTGCAGATGTGGCGCCAATGCTTCAGGGTTGGAGATGCTTTTCTTTTCCATCGATGCATGGGAAGCGGCTTTCATCACTGAGATCTATTCTTGAAATAGGAGGACCCTGAACGCTGACTCCGAACCTCGTTGCCCTCAAGCAGGAGACCTACAGTCTCTATGGGCGCGATGTGTTCGTCCACCGGATGCAGATCCAGGAGTCGGGCGTCATCGCCCGGACCTCAGTGCGTAGTTTGTTGGAGAGATGGGCTTTGCGGGCTTTGAACAAGGTTTGGGCTTGTGAGCCCTCTCCCTCGATGCTCGTCTCTACCTCACCGTGACAGTCAAAATGGTCTTAACACCTGGAATCATCCTGTGACCCGAAGCACTCTGCCCCGACAGCCCCTCATTAGCGGAGGTTCTGGCCAGCGCAGTTTTTCAAACAGCGAACATCAGTAGTACGGACAACAAGGTACACGGATGAAGTATTGGAAAACAAGGAGAAGCAAAACCACTACTGCTGGCCGTAATGATGAACACAGTTACAAACTTCTTCTGCCTCCAACAGCATCATGCAGCCTGAATGACGGGAGTATGCACTATTCGCCACCGTCATCATGAAGGACTCCACATAGCTCTAAACTCCAAGTCCAAGCCTCTAATCAATACCTAGAGCCCCCAAAATCCTAAACCCCTCACCACGACAGATCTAAGGTGGGCCAGCACGTCTACTTTGATGTCGAGCTGAACAACAAAGGGCACCCACAGGTGATCTGTGGGATTGGGGGAGAGATCGGAAGGTGAAGCATCCACGAAAGCCTCTAGACTCCAGACCCTCTCATCCCTTAGCCCTGGGAACCAGAGCAGCTTTGGTGTCGGAATTTCCTCCACAATTCGGGACCATCGGGAACCACAGCATCTGGAGCCCAAGGTTGCGGACTCGATTTTGAGGGTTTTGAGCCGCTGTGCAGATCAGGAGCCTCAAGTGGAAAGGCGTTCTCATCAGAAGAACCCATGTTGATCAGACGCCCTCCATGTTGGCTTTCAGGAGGAGTCTCTTTCCACTTTCGTCCTTGTGGTGCTCTTGTACCTCCATAGGTGCACGAATGTTGAAGCTTGAGTACCCCGGGCCTGAGAAACTAGACACCGACCGGACAGGGATCAAAAGGCCTTCTCGGACTGCCTTGCTTTGATGTCTTCGCCCCCGAGGCCCGGAACATCGTCGCGGTGAATCCACATGTGCGGCACCTCAGATGGGCTTACCAGTATCATCGTAAAAGCGATGATGAGGAGCGCGACGGTGCTTGTCGGTTTTTGGTGGTGTCAGTGTTGCTGCGGATGCTAGAGTTATCCGGTTGTCTTCAAATTTACGGTGCTCCTCGTTCCATCTCTATTCGCCACAAGTCCCTGAAACCGTTCAGGCCCTCGCTGGCCCCGTCCAATTTCCCAAGCAACCGGCACATGAGAATCGATTTCAAGAGGGCTACTTTTGCCAGCTGTTTTCACTCCTCCAAAGCTGCTTCTTCTTGGGCGCTCAGGAAGCCATGCAGTGGGGGGATCCCTACAACAGCACGGGCCTCGGAGAAGAGGTCGTTTGTTCCTCGGTTGCCGCGTTTCAAGCTCGGGGTAGGACGTGGATGCCTCACGAAGGTGTATGGGCAGCATGCCAACACATCTTGTGCTCCAGCTCTGATCTGTTTACACCCAGGCAACAAATTGCAATGATAGCCATCAACATTAGTAGTGACGGGCAACCATACTCAGAATATAGTATCGGCCAAAGTGTACAACAGTCATCGGGGTCGTTGTTGAAACATGCGATTGCTGGAGCCTTCGCCACCACCGCTGCAACCACGACCACGACTGAGTGTCCAGCATATTCAGCAAACACAGTCATTGCTGCACTAATCTAAGAGCAGCTCTCACAGCAGTGAGAAGACAAAACACCAACAGCACTATGAACACTCTTTCCATCCGTTCTTGCCGAAGGCTGGGGGTATGGCAACATGCCTGGCGCTGAAGAAGGTTACTGGATTTTGGGGAGCATCCCTGTCCCTACGCACAGCTTACGACGAAACCCAGAGTTCCACTTCGCTTTCGAAGCGTTCATAGTGGCAAGGCTAGAACAAGAAATGCTGTCAACAGTTAAGGGGTTCAGGGTTGGGTAGCACGTTGCGAGTGTTTTGGGTTTGGGGACTTGCGACAGCGAGGCAGCATGATGACACATAACAATCCAGATCTGCAAGTCCAACTCCTCTACAGGCTGCTTCTCTCCGCGATGTTCACACAAAGGTTTCTGTGTGAATCATGGGGTCGTGCTAAAATCCTATCGCAAGCCGTTGAGGAAGCTAAATACTAACTAGCAGTACAGTTAACGCTAACAACAGAGCAATGCTAAAGGCTACACATTCTCCCCTGGACCCTGGAGATTTTAGATGTAATGACTCCCACAGAACAAAGAAGGTTATCGTGACTTAGATGTTTGCACAAAATTGAACTCATGTTAAACATGGTTACATACGGGCACCACGAACCTCAAAGAGGCATGGCAACTGAACCCAGAGCTGCTTCCAGCCCGACATCCGGAATCTCTGCAACGGAAAGCAATCTTGGAAAAGGGTCTCAAGTAGTTCAACTTCTAAGGCTAACATGATGCTTAGCCCACAGGGTCTGTTCGAAATTGGTGCTGGGGTTCAGGGTTCAGTGCTTTCCGGGCTGCAGGTTTAGATGTTGAGAAGGCTGAGGTCTGGTTAAAGGTGTCGAGCCTTGCCACTCGGGCTCTTCTCCCTCGGGCACTCCTATCAGCTGTCTGATAGAACATAGCTCTCCGCGTTCGTACCGAGGTCATATGGGAACTACGGCGGCGGTTGCGGCTTCAATGGAGGCTGAGGGGTGCCTCACGTTCCGAAGGGTGACACTGGCGGACTGGCAGACTTAAGATTCGGGGTTCCCTCTTGTCTCATGTCCCTGGCCCTTATGTCACTGAAACTGCCACATGCCAAGCAGGGCAACTGAGGGCCTCCAAATGTTTTGCTGCCAAACTATACGTATGTCATACCGCTACAGCAAACGAAAGCAGTGAGCAGAACGCCAAGAATCACTGCAGCGCGGTGAGCAGGAATGGCAGTGATGATGCTGACAACACTAGTCATACCAGCAAAGCAGACAAGATGGTCATCACAGCACCAAACGCACGCGCGCACACACACAAAAAAGAAGTCAAGAGTTGATCATGATACTGGATACAATAGTTCTGAAACCATTACAGGAGCGACTGATTCAGTCCTACAGAGGTGGTGTAATGTGGGAAGCTTCGGTTAGACAGCGCCTTACGAGAGAGGCGGGGTGCAAGACGTGCTTCTATTTCGCAGGGGTATTCCCTCCGCCGCTGTGGAATTGCGATTAGGTGGTTTAGAGTCTAGAGTAGTCCAACAGCGGTTGCCGAAGACTGAGACCTGAGTCATTTGGTGAGATTCTTACTCATGAATGGAGCCTCAAAGTTCGACGCCTACTTCAGTCGGAGAGCCATTAGTCGGTCAGTTGCCTGAAGACGAGTTTCTAAATCTGGACCTGAAAATTCAAACCTCAAAGCCTTGTGCTGAATGGGAGGCTACGGCTACGGTGGTGGCGGCGGTGGCTCTGGAGGTGGAAGCACCAACAGGCGCGACACGGCGCTGGTCTTCTCATGTAGGAGCCGGGAAATGACCGTGGCTGCATCCTTAGGACACCAAGAGAACCAGGGATTTCTCAGTCGGAGAGTGTCTGCACGATGGCTCGAGCTTCTCAGGGCACCGTTTTCTTGTTTTCACAAGCCCGATGCCGTCCATTCGCGCACCCAAAGAAACTTTCCCGAACCCGGCTGCGCCCTAACGAGTCCGAGGTTGTTTGTCCCAGAGGCTTCTCATGTGGGATTTCAAGACTTGCCGTGTGTGGGTACGGGTCAAGGGCAACTTGAAGTTTTTGAGAGGTTGTCCATTGATGGGTTTGGTGCAAGGCTGGGCACATTACAAGCCAAACGGTCTTTCGTGCCGCTCGTCGTTTGAGCTTCAAGTCCCTTCCCACCGGATCCTCTCCTTGGAGGCTGGCGCAAGTTTAGGGCGTTTAGGGCTTGGGCCTTTGGGGCAGGGTTCAGGGATTTGGGCCTTTGGGGCAGCTTTCGACGTGGGCTCCAAGCCTCTCTGTGAAGCTCAACAGGCAGGCTTCTCAGGGCCAAGGGCCTAGATCGATATGTCCAGCTGATTTGTCGGGTGGAGTGTCCCGAGTTCGATGTTGGGGCTTGTGCACCGAGGTCCTGCAAGTTGGGTTAGGGCATTGACGAGGTCTAACCCGGAGCCGCCTCAGGGCTTGTCTACATGGCCAATTTGGATTCCATTTGGATGCGTCCCAATTTGTATCCCGTACAAAGCAAAGCCCTAAGCCCCTGCTTACCTCCTTTCCTAAGCCTTCAGCATCAAGCCCGTGACCCACAGGTATGCTTCACTTACACGCTCCGACGAGAGGACAAGATACCCTGAAGCCTGCATTCCTGAATCCTAGACCCCGCTTCAAAGTCCAAGGTGTGGAACTGTGGAACAAAGGAGATAGGATTCCACCCACTTATCTCAAAGTGTTGGAGCACTAGGGAGCGCTCCAGTGGTTGGCTCATTTTAGCGATCTGACCAAAATTCTGCTAGCCCCTATGTAAATAAGGCAAGCCCTTATTCCTGTGCGTCCTTGACTTCCTGTTTCTCACACTCCCTCAGGCACCCAAGCTCAGTCTTCAGTGAACTCCACGCTGGAGTTGTTCTACAGTGGTGTCCCGTCTAACGGTCTGAATCACTGAATCGTCAGCTCCCATTCATGTAGATACCTCAATAAATGGCAATCCCACGGAAATACTTCCGTATTCACGGAGGCTGGTTTGCCAAAAAGACCTTGAAGTCTACACGCCAGGACCGAAGCCCTCACCATGAAGCCCAGACAGAAGAGGCCCAAAGAGACCCTAACGAGGCCGCGGGTTGCCATGGGCTGCGGCGGCTCGAAACAGGCCGCCTCGGCTTCCGGCTCCGTGGCAGATCCCAACGCCGGCCTCCGAGCGAGACAGGCGCCCAGCGCAAACCGCTCGAAGCGGCGTTCTGGGCTTTGTGTTTCGGTTGCTGAAAGTGGTGTTTCAGCGAAGAAAGCTTGGACCCATACGCCATGTTGCCATAGACAACATCCGACAGTGCACAAGGCTCTCGAGCCTTCCCAAGTCCGGCGGCTCAGGTCCAAAATGAAGCAAAGCCCAGAAAGTCTGTCCTTGCAGGGTGTTCCGGGAACCCAAATAACTCCACAGCCCCAGAAGCTCTCCAGATTCCGACCACTGCAGCGGACGCCCCCCACGTTGCCGTCGTGCTGCCAGGGCGCTGTGTTGGTTGAGGGCAGGGCTGGAGGTTCTGTTGAAACTTCTGGTTGATGGGCCTAAGGGCTTACGGTCTCGGGTGATCGGGTTTGAGTTTAGGGCCATGTCAGGGTATGGATTTTGAGGTGGGGGTTCAGGGGTTTGGTGTTCAGAGGCGGTGGGCAGCATGTTTCAGCGTTTTGGTACCTTCATCGTGTGCATCCTTTGCAACCTTCTCCAGCATGCAGCAGAAGTGTCTGCGATCAGAGGGCGAGATACTTCTGGACAGCCTAAATCCTAACCCCACGAGCGCCACCGGCAGTCAGTGAGTTTTCTGGGGGCGCTGTGGCCAGAAACGTTGGCGGTTCGGCAATTCAGGGTTGGGGGGCTGAAGCTTTGTGTAGGTTTCCAGGTGCTCGTAGTTTTCTCCTGTAAGTTGGGGTGTTTGAAGTTTGGGGTCTTCAGTAGCTCCAGCCCAACAAGTTGGGTTGTCACAGGCACTATGCCGCTCGCATCCAGCAGGATTCGCAGCTACTTGTGCAGCACTTGACCGCCATGGCCCCAACCCACAAGCCAAAACCTGAAGCCCCAGAACCCTTCACGCCGCAAAACTCTTCTGCTTGTGTCAAGCAGTATATCCATAATTCCCGAGCCCTAAACGCTTCAAGCTCTGAACCAAGAATCTGAAACCCTGAGTCCGAAAACCCTTGTGTGCCATCGTTCGACTTTGAAACTGCCTTAGATGCGGTGGCATCCCGGGTGAAGACATGGGGTCGAGAAGTGCCGGAGTGGTGACGGGAGCTTTGGAAGTGCAGGGCTTGGAATGCTAAACCGAATTGCGCTGACTCCTGCCTGGTTTCTTTCCGCGGCCTGGCATCTTGAAAACTGAGATTCCTCGCGCTCTTGCTTTGCGCTTTGCGCCTGCAACTACAAACTCAAGATCTTCCAAGTACCAACGACGTAGCTGGCTGATCAAGGATCCCAACTCTGCTTTGGGATTTGAGGACTGTGGGAAAGTCAGAGGTAGAACAAGCCAAGGTTTCATTACCACATCCTGGAGAGCGAGAACTATAGTATGTTCAAGGCCCGGATGTGCGGGCGGGATGGCGCCTTGAGTCTGCATATTCGCAACGTTGATGAACCTTTCTCGGGAATGTTCTGCTATTTCCAGGCTGCGGGTCTTGGGCCTGCCTTCGGACGTGCCTTGCATTAGAGGCATTCCATGCACAGATGGCGGCTGGCTTGAGCAGACTTGACCAAGCTATCTTCCTGCACCCTTCGCTCCAGGCCGACAGCATCACAACTATCACGACCTTACAGCTTCTGTCAGAACTTTTAACATCACTTAGTCCCAGCTTAGTCCCGCGATCACGTCGGCTAGGTGATGAGCTTCGATGCCGACGCTTTCGTCGAATCGGTGGGGCCTTGCTTGGAGCATTTTGGGTTCCGCGGCAGTCGTACCCGACAAAGCAAGCGGATATACACCTATTCTGATTACGACCCCATTTAATTGCTAGGCATCCAGGGACGGATTGCAGGGCTCGTGGTCTTCGTGGAAGGCGATCGGCCAAATCGCGTCGGATAATTATGTAGTCATTCAATCCACCTTCAGGTATGCATGTATACATCAAGAGTGAGCAACTGACCAGACTGCAGAATTGGTCCTAGTGTGGACTGTTGACTTGCAACAAGATGGACTTCTCATGTTGTACTCCTGCCTTGAGAACTCAATATTTTTGGTGCGCGCGCAG